GCAGATTGAAACTGTTGAGCTATGGTAGTTCCTCGAAGATGGATTGGTGTGCTTTCTGCTCACTTGAGAGACCTTGAGGGGAAACGAACTGACAGGCGTGCGATGCGTGATCGAAATCAAGTTGTGTGCCCCGGAAGAAATGTCAGTCTCGAATTGTAGCTCTCTATCGGTGGCTGATGGCCACATGATCCAAATGGGTCCACGTTTGATTTGCAGTTTGTGGCCGCCAGATTAAGCAATGCGAACGTTTATGCTGAAAGTTCGAACTGGCTAGAAACAAATCATGATCAGCACAGAACTGGAGGGGTCGCTCTCCGTTGTCTGAACAACGAGCTACAACTCCGAATCGACCGCCCAAATGTGATTGATTCGAGCTTAGACGACCCACTTGGGAATTCGTGTCACCCACAAGGATCAGAATGTCAGTGCTTCTTGCTTGGCGAATGAGCCTAGATGTACGTCCACTTGGGAATTCGTGTCACCCACAAGGATCAGAATGTCAGTGCTTCTTGCTTGGCGAATGAGCCTAGATGTACGTCGATAGAAAGTGTCCATCTCAGTACCAAAACTGCGGTCCGTTTGGGCATATGCCGACACTACAAACAGACACCGCTTTTTATGTCGAGAAGCATTGAGCTTGATTGGGCTGGCTAACTGGACGGCGCAAAGGTGGATCTTGATTAGGGTCCAATCCAGCAAAGCTCGTTCAGCTCTGGGGCCGAGTGCAACTCCGATGCCATATATTCAACAACTCATCGTTTCTGGGTCACCAGACACACGGAGGGAGAAATTTGAAGTAGCTGAGTTCGTCCTTGGCATATTGAGATGTATAACCACGCTAGGGTCTTGTGTGCGTGTTTTGGAGACACAGCATACATCATTTTTAAGGGAGTATAAAGTTTCAGCGATCGTTATCTGTTTGCCGATTTGGCATAGAGTATGGAAGCTAAAAGCTCCTATGTAGAAAAGATCTCGTGGATTTAGGTGTTATTTTTTCTTGTTTATTGTAATAGGTGGCCGGAAGTATAAGGCACATCAGTCAGATAACTGACAGTCAAATGACCTAACAACGTCTGATTGTGTTGTGGGAATGGGTTGAGGAGCGACATCGGTGGATACAGAACTGTGCGGGAAAATAATACTTCCCGGTTTCCCAGGTCGAGGTACCTCACCTTGAGCATTTTACTCGAATGTCCCACAAGGCAGTGAGAGGATGTGGGGTTTTGTTCGGGGAACCTGCCCTCAGCCTCTAACTCAAAAGGCAGTGGACAGAAGGGTTTTCTTTATGGACGCTATCCGGAGCCGATGACTTGGTAGTGTTCACGGTCAACCGTTGGGCGATCAGATAGTGTGCGGTTTTCAGCGCTGAACTTTTCTAACTCGTTGTTTCTCGTGGGAAGACTGCTTCACTGCTTCTCTATATATGTGGACAGGCTGGTCACCTGGGGGAAACGCCCTACTACCTTCACACTCCTATCACAGACGGCAGTACGGTTTCATCCCTATACCGTCTCGTAACACGATTACTCGTACAAGGTCTCGCTGCTCTTGGTCTGACTGCTCCCTTTTGGTCTTCCTGGCATGGTTGCACCTTGTGGATCGAGGTTCCAGCCAATGTAGCCCGCGGGATCATTGCAGCACTCAAGCCTGACCACCACGTCAAGGTGGCAGCTTTAGGTCTAGTCGCACACATTTTGGGCACTATCAATAGACATTTTCCGTACTTCTGATACTCCACTACGAGATCCAAGCACAGTAGTTGAGCTTGAAACACATTCGTTATTTAGAGGGTATTGACAATAGACCTCAAGTGAACCTGCTGCCGCTTCTGCATTGGGTTGCGAATGTATTGTTATATGCCAAGGTCCGCAAGCTGAGGTCTTTGTGCTTTTGGGTATTCGCAAACAACCGAATCCGCGCCGTTTGACTCTTCGCCCATGTGATCATTCGTAATTATGCACCTATCTATTGTAGTCCTGGATTTTCGATGGAGAACCAACCATTCTCCTGTCCACTGCGAAGAGCTCAGATATAGTGGTAATTTTCGGAGGCTTCAGCGCACAAGTACCGGACTTCAGAGTAACTATCATAATGGACACCAAGGCCGGAGGTACCCATTTTCTTTGCAGGAAATTTTAGCTTTAAGACTCATGGATTGCTCCCTTCGCAGTATTCTAACCTGAAAGTTCTTTTCTCATGGTTATATATATATATATATATAGTTCAGACACATCATGTACAAGCACAACCGGTTTATTCATTGTTATCTTTCGACGACGCTACCCTTTTCCATCTTCGGTCACCAGTAATCCGAGTACAGGAGTGTTTGGAACAGCAGTCCATCTTCTAGGGCAGTCATTGACCCCTGTGTAGAGCCTAGTAACTTTGAAGGGGGATTCTGGACATGGTTCAGATAGGTGTCGATTTTAATACCCATGCCTTCATAACTGATTGGAGTGGGATTTCTCACCTGTAATGGTCCCACAGGATGATTGTGCTTAAAGAAACTGTTAGGCCATTCGTTATATCAGTGTCCATAGATAAATGGTATTCATTGTACTGAAGTTACCACGTTTTCATGGTGGTCCGGCTTGAATGCTGCAATGATCCCGCGGGCTTGGCTGGAGTCACTTCGTTCCACAAGAAGTGATCATGCCAGCATGGCCAAAAGGGAGCAGTCAGACCGAAAACGGCGAGACCCCGTACTACGAGTAGTCGTACTCTCCTCTGCGATGGGAGCGAAAGAAGTAAGGTGTCCCCTATAGGTGACCAGCGTGTCCATACTTATAGAGCAGCGATGTTGCCTTCCACCGAGAAAGGACGAATTAGAAAAGGTGAGCTCTAAAAATCCGTTCATTCCAATGGCCAAACGGCTGACCATGACCACCGGCGCATTATTCAATATAGTAGAAATACATTTAAAAACAGGGTATGGCTCTGCTCAAAAGGCAAGTGTTGTACGCAGCGGCACTAAGAGGGAGCGTGGGCTCTTATCTCACCTACCCCATGCAGGCGCCTACAACAGACATATAGACTGAGCTACTGCCTATCGGAAGCACAACAATCTCGTTTGTACCAGAGGGCTCTACTGGACTCTGGCAGCTATGTAAGTCAAATACTTCACTTGTCTATATAACTGTACCACATTTGGGAACTTATCCGTTTACATCAAGGCAAATATAGTTGGCGATGGCTCTAATGTAGCCGAAACCACGCTCAAATCGGCGACGAATTTCTCCTCCACTCGAATTTTTGGGTTCTATCATGCTACTGGGTGGAAACAAGTAGCGTATCATCAAAGCTAAACTTGTTTCTCTCACGGACCAGTGCGTCACCTTGGACGGTCAGGAGATATAATCCAAGGAAATACACAGGAAATGTGTTGGCCCTTGTGTTCATTAGAAACATTCAGCCTATAACATCATATCACCAAAATGCTTCGCCATAGTATGTCTGTTGGAAGATCGATCCGAGCACACTACTCGCATCTCACTACGTAAATTGCAGGTAACTGACGAACTTGGACGAAATTAGGGTGCATTTACCTCACGCTGTTGCGGAATTTCCGCCAACTGGTCACCTGGAAGGCCACTGATGTTGTAAAGCCTTCTTAGGCCTTTGTATACGTCACGCGGGAGCACGCCAAACTGGTGCGATGGGGCCCTCAGGTACGGTATTAGTAGGTTGGCAACAACCAGGCACCAAACCAGTTACAACACACGCTTGCTCATGCGCATGGGAAAAGTTTATGTGCGCTGGTCAGGGGTTGGCGAGGTTCGACGCTAAATTTGAGTCTGGGCTGTCTGGTGATCTAATCGACCAATTGTTTCCGTTTGTTAGCAAGATAGCTGCTGGGGCAGCAGGTTTCTGATATGGCTCGCGCATTCAAAACCACTCAGCTTAGGCTTGTAATCCACGTGATCGCTCGCCAACTACTCACGGACTGAGGTAATATTGGGTTTTCCCTCCACGTGACCCATCCGACTCACACAAAGCCCACCACTTAGATGTGATCACAGTTACTAAGCGATTCATGGGAATTGGATCATGTTCTGTCGGCGCATAGAGATCAATGGCAGCTCAGGTGGGACCCTCAGCTGAAATGGTCATATCTGCTGTCTAGTAAGTGCACACCGCTGTCCTTCCGTTCAAAGCGGGGCTAAAGAGTCCTGAATCTCGGTCTCAATCCGGTGCGTGGCCGACCTGGGTCGAAGGAAACCACTAAAAACCCGAAGGCTGTGTAGAACCAGTTCAAAGCACCGCCTCTTGAGGTAAGGCAGTTAGACCCTTTCCTCCCTACTGGTAATTCGTGAACTGGTGTACCCTTCCACACTGGTTTCCCCCTGTGGCATGCAAAAGGGAATCAATCGCCTTTTCCCCAGTGATCATTATCAAGGGACTCGTGAAACTTCCGAAAACGGGTGCGTCAAGATTGATAGCTAGGTTAATCGTCTTCAGTTGCAATGGGACGCGAAAGATAAGGAATCGATTTCACAGTCCCGAGTGAACCGCGGTTGGCTGAGCAAGAAAGCTTTTGGTAGGCTGGTTCCAGACCCCTATCCGATCAGCTACTGGACCAAGGTTTTGCTCCTTCCGTTAGCACTGAGAAAATAATTGAATCAGAACTTCATAAAACCACTCCATATCTTGCTTAAATGTAGAAGGAGTTGACCTATCAAAACAAAGTGACCGTAACCGGTGCACACTCCCCAGTGATATGCTTAGCAGAATACGGCTCAGACAAGTTTTCCTCAGAATTTGACAACCTTGCTGGGAGAGTTCAGTACACATATCATACCTTGTGACCAGACTTTCCTGGGCGCTATGGTATGAGACTACGAACCCTAACAGTGACCGAATTCTCACGCTGTGCACCATCCACTAACTTGTCACCATTACTACCAGATTCTACTTCAAACAGTGACACACTCCTAGAAGGATGCCCTCACACAGCGGCCAATCCCATCTTGGGCTGGCATCAAGACCGGCCAGCAGCAGAATGAGCATTCATAATAGAAGTTTCCAAAGGTGAAGAGAACAACACATATTCACAGATACACACACACATGTCTGAGGACATGCTGATACATCAAACAGGTCATCGCGACCGAATGACGTGTGACAAGATCGTGCGGAGTAAACAAAGGCGCCTTCAATATGGAGAAAATAGAAACATGAAAAATATCACTCGAGTTGTGTTCCTGCATTTAATGGGGGAATCCGAACGGTGCGACTATCGGAAGTAAAAGACAAGGGACAAACGAAATATGCAACAACAGGACAACAGGTAGAAAAAGTTGGTGTTCGCAAGAGGAAAATGCCACAATTCGACTAAAACGAGTGGGAATATGGAAAATGCCACGTTGACGAATCACGCGATAAGACGATGTGCAAAGTGGACCGGTGAAGTTCATCGATACTAGGACAGGAAGAACGTCAGTGTTGGTAGTGGGGATATCACTTGGTTTTCACATCGATTGGGACCCGTTTTGTGACACGGCCACAACACAACCCTATGAAGAAGATACAAGAGAAGAATAGGAACAGTCCCATGAGGATGTAATTTCGTGAACGGCTTGAATTCACTTGGGCTATGAAGTCGCTTAAGGAGTCGGGTTGTTGATATTTGGCGACGTAGTTCCACAGCTCCATTCGTTTGCTCAACTGTTTGAAGCAGAGTGGTCCGAGAGTGTCGACAGCATCAGGACGATTCATGACACGTAACAGGCAAGCCATTTGCCGACCGCGACCAGGTTCAATCTGAAATATCAATGGCATATGGTGTTGGGGAATAACAACCTCAATGACGAAACCACAAAATCAGGTCATAAGGACTTCATGGATTCCAGGCCCTTATTACTCCCCAAGTAGCATCATAATCAGCGGTAAACACAGAAGTTTCGCTCATGTGAGGCCGTATTATTTACATCAGAAGCCACCGTGGGAAAAACGGTATTTACCGCCAACCTAGTAAATATACTTCGAGGTAGAAAATTCTCAAGGAGCCAAAATGGATAAAATAGTTTTGAGGTAACAGCTTGTTGTGTTTCGGGTTGGGGTTGGGGTACATACCACAGCGATAGCACACAGGCTTTGAGTACCTTTTGTACTCTTCTGAATAATCACGAATACGTCCTCTGGTCGACAGTACAACATGTGTTCAACACTCATCTTTCGATGCCGTATGCGATGACCTACGTTGCATGACAGTATTTTTAATTGTAAGAATTGTCGTTGCACGCGGGTTGGGATACCAGCGCCCAAAGCTAGACAGAAGAACGAATGGGATCCTCAACCAAAGCCGTTGATTCAAGAATCGGACTGTAAGGTAGCTTTCTGGGAAATACCAGTGCATTACCTTTTTCAAAGAACAAGTCACCACACAGGTTCCAACCCCTAACCTGGAGTATCAGGTGACTGCTGCTCAGAGCTCCAACTACTGACTAATGTGGTTGAGCAACTCTGCGAGTGTCACAGCTACAGTGTAGCTCATTCGGTCACGAAGGCGCACAAACCGTCATACCAGGGTAAATTCCAGTCTTTTTGGTACAAATTTCGTCCTGTAAGTGAAGGCAACCTATGCTGAAAAGCCGAGAAGCACTGATACGGCTGTTCCACCCTTATTGGGAATCATCAACAGTGCGCACCTCACGAAACTTCAGAGTCTCAAATCAGTGACCTCCAGGCTACAAGCTTGAATTCTTAACTGTCCGGCAACGGGCAGCTCGGTTAAGTGCTCAACCTACTAGCCGAGAGCTAGCGGGTTTCAGACTTACTGAGATTCGTGAGAAGCGCACTGCTGATGACTCCCAATGAGCATGAAACGGCTGCACAGTGCTTCCAGTCTTTTCGGCATAGATTAATTTCGCTTACCGGGCGAAATCTCCACCCCAAATCTCCCCAGACTACTAACACAAACGAATCATCACCATCATCATCGATAAGAATACACCATTAGTAACTACTGGTACCTAGACGCGACCATTCCTTTAGTTTTAGCGGCGTATCCAAAATTTGCCAGACATCATCGATACCTGTGTGATGAGCATCCTAATGAAAGTAGCCTGAACTACTCCTTATGAATTCCGAGCGATATTGAGCTATGGTTCAAAATCCATTTAGCAAACTATCATAGAATTTAGAAGCATAGGATTCGTGACTTAAAGAACGATGACTACACGGAACGTTTCAGGCCAGTTGCGCACTGCAAACTCACGATTATGTAGTGCAATGAATGTCTCCAGACAATAAATATCAGCAAGATCGACTAAATTCGGTTTGACTGGGCTGATTGCATAATTTCTACTGAATAAGCTCTCTTGCGTGACCAACGCCTCCATAACAACCCACACTAGGTAGGTCAGTACAAGTACAACAGTCCTGACTGTGACGTTAGGATGACCCAGTTAACAAACGAAACTCACTTTTGCGCACGTCGAAACGTTCAAGTCAGTCAGAAATACCACAAGAGCGCTGAAAGGCTTCAGTGCTTATGTGGCAACGCTTCTTCGAAGACCAGCACAAAAACCAAAACGAAAAAAACACAAGTGCGATAACACATTCTCCTTTGGACTTGCCTCACCACAAATCTGCTGTACTTCAACCGCACAAGCCTCATGCAACAGTGGGTCAATATGTAAATCAGATTGCGCCTCCCGGATCATCAGCACCACCTCACGTCTACATTCGGCAGATTGCAGTTTGTCTTTTTTTAACGACTCCAGCAAGCATTCACGAACATTGTCATCCATATCTTCTTCATCCTCTTTGTCGCGCGTTCGCAGTTTGTGAGGGCAATTCTTCAAGATATCAGTCTTACACGTGCCAGCCAACACTGGGTCGAGATGATGGGCTGCGTTCTCCCAGGTAATTAACTAAAAACGACGTAAAAGCAACAACCATAATATACCGAAGGCAATGTAAGCAGGTTGGGATGAACACGATTAGTTGAATCCAGTGGATTTACGGATGATACCAAAATAATTGTGTATTGTTTATGGTGAAATGTTGAATGACATTCGTTTCCGGCATCTTTAACTTCGAAGTTTCGCTTGGATGACAGTGCACCACAAGAGCTGTTGGGAAGGAGCAGACTGTGACCAATAGTTGTAAACAGCGGGCTATTTTATGACCTTACAGTATTCAGTTGTTTATCTTGGACGACCACAGTTGGAACAGTCCTGGAGTAAGCCAACAAACCTCGCTTACACGAACAAGTCCCTCGTTGGCTTGCACCAGTAGCCTTCAAGCAGTTTGAAAGTGTAATGGGAACACTGACAATTCCGGAGAGAACAGGTTTCATGTTAACTAATGATGGAAAACAATCCTCCCACACTTCTTATGCAGTGCCATATGGGACCCCAGATTGATAAACAGGCTCCGGACAAACCATGCAGTATAATGGAGAAACCAAATCTCACAAGAAACTGCATGCTGGGCGCAACCATATTGCATGTGAGACGTCCGTGCGTGGCCTTGTGTCCACTACCAGTAAAGTGCGTTGTACTACTGAGTATCTGGTTCCGGCTCCTAAGAAAACGCCAACACCTGTTGCCTTGCTGGACAGACTGTTGAGTCACAGACACTGGGAAGAAGCTCTAACGATGTCAGACTATATTATGAAAGGCTTAAATGCTCAAACTAAGGCACCTAAACCAAACTGGGCTTCCTCCCTTCCTGGACATGAGATACAACTTAGCTTTTTGATCATCGGTCCACTTCCAAATCCAGCCCCAAAGAATAAAGATATGCTGACTTACACAGGTTGAGTATCGTTTGAAAGTCTTTTCTAATCGCTCGCCACCATACAGAAAGATATCCCGTCGTTTGAACCGCCAATATGACGAGCAAATTTGTGTAACTCTTCACATCTATTGAAAGGATCGTGGTACTCATCGCCCATTTGGAAGGGCTTCGTGTTCAATGACCAGAAGTTGCTATCAACTTACGGTAGGACAACCTTCACGACTGATACCATGACTGAACACAGGGATTAAATGTCGACACAACTAATCCGTTTTCTCAAAATCTAAGCCTCAATCTCTTTGGATGAAAATTTGAATAACAGATAAATGGCGAGTTTGTGTGTGTCAGAAAATCGAAATTAGCGACCATGCGCCGCAAAAACGTTGAGGCCTGTGAAGTTGTTAAAGAACGCAGTGTGCTAGGTAGTTCGATTCCGAATGCCAGAGACAACCGATACAACTTTTACCGGTGATCGGTTCAACTTCAACACAGGCTAAGTGCTGTGTTCGAAACTTGTATAAGTGAACAGGTGTTTAATGACCACGTTACATGTTCGTGACACTGGTCTACTCCTTGAATGAAATGATTTTACTTGAATATGCTGGGACATTGTTACATTGCCTTAGCTAATAATGGTTACTCTTGATATTATTTAGGTAAAACATTTGAGCGTACCAATCCAAATATTGAATGCTTAAAAACGACACGCTGATCGAATTCAGATCCTTCCAGACTAATACGGACAACGATCGAACTCACCAAACGAACGCGTGCATAGCACTTTGCGTTCAGCATCTGGTCGGTCTGTTTCTGTTCGACGAAATGCCTCTTCAGGCAATGTAACACAGGACCGTTCTGTTCATACGGGCTCTTCAAAGTAGCACGTGCTTCTGCGAGGCAAAACTTGGAGATATCCGAGCTGAAAATGGAGGCGGGAGGATGTAAAAGCTGAGGCACTGACTGAAACATTCATCATAGTTATTGCAGAAAAAAGTAAGGCAAGGCAAACATGAAGGACCTTAGCACCGAATAGAGGGGCATCACAAGTGATGAACGACGTACCGACACACACTTTGCAACACGGGATCCAGACGATAATCTCGAGAGCGCAAATCTAACATGTCCCAGAGGTGTCTACGACAGATGGGGTCAAAGCCATGCCGCGTGTTTTCACGTGTCATTGCCCCGGTGAGACATTCCACGAGTGCATTGTGTCCCGTCTGTTCAGTCAACTCATCACCCAACTCTTGAAGCCTGACCAGCACCGGGGCGCAATGTACGTTGATCATTTGTTGGCAAGCGTTGAGCAGAGTATAGCCTGCTCGATTTTCTAAGGCTTCTAGTTCATCACGCTTGAATAACTTTGAATGGCATTCCAAGGACAGTTGGGCTCGGTGTTCCCGTAGACATTCGATCACCTATCAGGAGGGATAGAAGATGGAGTGGAGTGAGGTGAGGGGTAGTGGTGTTCAGACGGAGAAACGTGGAACAAAGAAAATCTTACGAGAGGTGATTGGTGTGCTGCTAGTCTGAATTGACCACAGCTTAAGTGCGCGGTGTCTTCGAATTGCTGCCTGCTGGCTGACCTAAAGAGTGATAAAAACAAGTGCAGACCGCGGGAGGTTGAAAACCTGCACATCGCAGATGCCTCATAGTGCTACCAATAAAACGACGGTGATACACGACCGGCTAAAAGGCCTTGGTCGCTTAAAACACAAAAGTGCGAATCCGCAGTATTGTTTGTTGAAACTTCGTAAACCTGTAGTGTATTCTTGGTTGTTGTGTAAAAGCCAGCAGAGGTACCGCCTCGACCAACGCCACTATTACAGTAAACTGGTCTCACATTTCTCACAACCATCTTTACCGTGTTGTCTGCATCGCTTGTATGACCAAGTAACACGAGTAGTATTCAGCGACAACCGAATGTCAAATAATTAGTTGCAATACAGCAATTAAGTGACAGACACGCGTCCGTTTACACGTGGTCTACAGCACAAGGCAATGGAAAGGGGCACTGGTTGAGAGTGTGTCCAGGCCCTGTTTTGACAGTGCCAGAAAGTGACCGTGAAGTAAAGCAGTTAGTGTTCTGTGCGAAATCAGTTTCGATAAATGTGGTCGTGATTTGATAACACTATTGTGCATCTAGCCTTTGCAAAATGCAACTATCCCATCCGAACAATTATAGAATGGTACATAACGTTCGCTATATGGTAGTGTCCAAGTTCGAAGAGCGAAACTTCACGTCAGAAGAAAAAGCCACATTCAGCACTGGTATGCCCGGTTCGGTCGATGTTACTAAAACAACCAAACAAAACTTACCCGACCAGCACCCGGGGCCACATTGCTACAGAACTGCTTTTGATCCGTAATGCATGCTTGGGCCAGTTCAGGATCTAAATTGATGGATTCACTACGGTCGTACAGTTGAGAAACCAGTTCTTTGTAGCAAGCCGGAGATAATACAGACGTTTGTGGAGACGGTAGGGCCACCTCTTGAGGGGCGCCTTTCGACTCAGGTGGTTCACGGACAGTCAGAAGTTCACTGAGGCACACAATCACAGCAGCTGTGCCCCGGGACATCTCCCTGTTGCAATATTTTTGCGCATCTGACAGGCAGTGGTGATGCAACCGGGAGATCTGCATGTTTTTTTGTGCTATGATGGGATGGATGGAAAATCGGTACGAAAAGAACAGAGCCGAGCACGGAAGACGATTTTAGCCATAAATTGTGAGGAAAACTCAATTATATTCATTGATCAGGGTGGAGTGAATAATGTTGGACACACCAGGGAGATACTTATACCGGTCCTCTGAAAGCTGAAATTTCTACATTCTAGGACCAGAATTCTTAGAATACCATATGAATTTATTGAATTTCATAGGTGAACTCATTAGCGCAGCTTTCTCTGATCCTTTGCTAAAGCAGTTCCTGAGATAACTTTGGTTCACGCTTTGATGAAGTCCCCAACCAGCAGAAATAACAAGACACAAGGTTGACAAATGCACTCATTTGCATACCAGTTTGGTTTTGACAGAAGAAAGTGCCTGGAACCCATCTGAATCTTTCGTTTATGCTGTTCTCGTTAAAGTCGTAATTTCCACAAACTTTTAGCACACATCGCACACACACACACAGCAGCTTTCTCTGATCCTTTGCTAAAGCAGTTCCTGAGATAACTTTGGTTCACGCTTTGATGAAGTCCCCAACCAGCAGAAAATAACAAGACCAAGGTTGACAAATGCACTCATTTGCATACCAGTTTGGTTTTGACAGAAGAAAGTGCCTGGAACCCATCTGAATCTTTCGTTTATGCTGTTCTCGTTAAAGTCGTAATTTCCACAAACTTTTAGCACACATCGCACACACACACACACAGACACGTTGCAGTGCTCAGTCAAGCCCACCGAACTTCACAACCCGAGCTATCAGCTTTCTCCTCTTCATCAACAGGGATGACTGCGTGTGAATAGTGTATAAAACCGAGCGCATCGTAACCAACCAAAGCCTACTAAAAATGAGTCCATTAGTGACTTGTTGTAAATACGAACACAAGACGAAAAAATGTGCACAAACTAGATAAGCAAATGTTTCGAACATCAACCACACACAGAACGTCAGATGGCACATGACGACCTGTCTCGTGAACACTTTTTTAATTGGGATTACGCACTAAGTCACTTAAAATGCTGCACAGCAAGCACTCATTGTGGTCTACAGGTCTGGGATACAAATAAATACTACTGATTTTCATGGGAAGGGGAGTTATTTATTTTTGGTCTCCGCCTGATACTCAAATATGCATTTCCTCTTCAAAAAATCGATCGCGTGCGAGCACGATCAAGCTAGACACAGCACAACAGTGATCAAACCTAACCAAATGAGGGCTACTTGGGAACCAAAGTAAAACGGAAGGCCAATTCTGTGGAGATGGTTTTGGCGAAGACGGTGGATGAGATTAGCCGTGGATATGACGGCTCCGTACGACCGTTCTGCTATATCTCTAGTCGCAGTTAGATATACTCCCTTGAAAATCCGGGTGATACTGAGGTATAGAAAACAGTCTTAGCGGTGCGAATCATCCTAAAGGCAGGTCCACGCAACCTCCAACGCGCTTGGCTGGGGTATCACAAGATATGGCTGTTAACTGATGCCAGTAAGGATCATGCTGACAAAGTCACACAGGTTGAGAGTGATTAGTTTGAGGTGCAGATACTCCACGACTTTCGTAGTATACATATTAGACCAGCTCTTTGATCACTTTTGACTTTCTGTGATTGTGAAGCGATAGCAAAGCATTAATGTTTAGTGCTGATGTGTACTGTCGCTGCAGCATCAGGATCGACACTGACGTGGTCGTCTATGACCCTTGGAAGGGTCATAGCAAGGTACTCCACAACATCCCTGCCTGATCAGAAGACTGCCAAATTTAAGTAGGTCTATTTTTGAGGTAACTTTTAATGAGATCAAAGAAGCGGAGATGAGATAACTAGTCCTCTGACAGGCAGATAACATGTAAAGATCGACGAAGAGAAAATAACCAAAAAGTTATGGGGTCAAGACCCCAACAGATATTCGCAAGTAAGCTGAACGGGCACAAAGGAACTACACACGGAAGCAGAGAAGGGTAAGAATCACTTGTGGAGTGATGTCCGGCATGAATGACTAGGATCGAGATCAAGAATTCAATTTAGAAATGCTGACGATTAGGGGATGCGAAAACTTGTTGCAGGTACCGAGCATTTGGAAGCAGTTACTTGACTGGCGGGGGAAACCTGGCATGAGCAGTACTGATGAACTTAAACAGGGGCATGTTTCTATGGCCCTTTATTTTAATGAGGATTCAGATTGCTGTTGCATCTGTTTTTGAGCTTCGCAGCGTTAATGGCCAGGTTGAGTGTTTACGGTGAAAGGAAGACACTTTAAGGAGAGGACTGTCAGCCAAGATAAGTAATCAGTAGAAGTGTTTTAGGTCTACAGCAAAATTCCAACCCGACCAATGTAAATCTACTCCCTCCCTCTGATAGTGTTGTAGCGACAAGTCACTCACACAGACTAACAAAAATGTTTACCACACTCCAGAGCAATATTCAAACGCAGTGAACCGGAAGAACCAGACCTTAGACCTGGTCCAATATCATACAGTTTAATCCGATAGCCCACCGATCTTAACGCTTACTCACACTAGCAAGCAAAATCTCGTAGCAGACACCTGACACGATTTGGCTGGTTAGTATGAGACATTGCACATTGGTTCTCCTTGTGCTTTACGAGTCGACCAGCCCTTATAACCTAGTCGGTGAACAGGATTTTGTGTCAAAAGCAACACGTTGCCCAGTTATAAATGCATCGACTGTTTTCCAGCCTTCTGTGGATGAAGGAAAGGCCTTTATGTTTGCTGTCTTGTGCAGTTAGCACCGAATACTCAACTCAAACACACTGAAAATACCTACCCACAATTTGCAAGTGTTCCACAGCCTCACGACACTCCGGATCCATGGCAGGATCGTTCTTGTAATGAACCAGACAACCCAGGAGTTCCTCGGAGTCCGTGACAATCGAACAAAATCGCGAAGCTGCTGCTGCGCAAGCTTTCATAATCAATTTGTCTAGACTGGCGTCTTGTTGTGCTTCTGCGCTGACTTGAACGACGGCCGAACGACACTCAGGCTAGAGTGAAGAACAGAGTGCAAGGAGAGATAAGGCACAGTTACTGGAGGATATTATCTTATCACGGGGGTGAGATGGATCAAGTGGTTATAGCGGGAATCTACTGGCCCAAGGTCCGTGGTCCGAACCCGACCTCTGCCACTCGACTTCCCCTGTCTAGGCTTGGGCGTCCTGGCACTCCTTCGGGGGCATGGCAGCCAGGCACCGAAAAGGTGCTACAGCTGAACGATTATCTCATCATAATGGAGTTAGTCTAGATGAATGAACCGAATCTACTAGTGTTGGCGTTTTAGCTCAGAGTCAAACGGTACCAAAAATGTGCACTTAAGGGCTTCTACTTACCTCACCTTAGTTCGGTTATCCCGTTTGAAGAGGAGCTGGCTTCCAGAAAGCTAGCAAACGGTGAGCGATTAGTTCATTGCAGTAGTTCACACAAGTACAGTGATTTTGACGCACTTACCAGAGTGACGAAACGTCGAATGACGATAACCAACAAAGTGTGTGATACAAAACTGTTGCAACTGTAATTACCTATCGTCTCAATTCGACTGATAGAAAGATAATACAGATGTACAAAATCCACACGATAGTAAGAATCCTGCATGACAGTGAATGAATGAAAAAATATGGTGGACAGAAGTGCCATCAATGGGCACTCATCGAATTTGCCGCACCTTGATTCAAAAACTTGGGGGGGGGGGGGG